ATCTGAAGATTAACTGACAGTGGTGTTTTTCTTTGTCCAGAAAATCAGCAAATGACTAAATCTGAATGCCAGATTATGGTACTGTCTTTTTATAGCGAATAGCATGTGCAAATTGCGCCGAAACAGTCAAGTAACCCCACAACAGGAGACGTGAAACATGCACATCATTTACGACATGTGGTATAACGTTTTGGTGTTTGTGTGGTATTCAGGTACACTGATAGCCAAAAGATTAGTTTAAAGTATTCGTAAAATGCAAATTCTGAAAATATTGTGCAAATAATATAAAAAATATAGACATCAAATTGAAATCGAACAAACACGAGTAAAGAAACAAACAAAACCTTTATTCAATGAACTAAAGTTTATGCTTATTACCAACTGTTTGGCTTAATTATTTGTACTTAAACTAGCTGTTCTGGCTGGAAAGTTTTCGAAACATCTACACGAGACAAGGACAGAAAGAATAAAAACCTCAACTCATACCAATTAGTACAAGTAGCTGTGTCATCACTTGAGATGGTTCCACACACACCCTCCTCAGGGAGTTGACACAAACACAGGTTAACTTTATGCAAGTTTCTGTGGGATAGTAGCTACAGTGTGTAACATTTATTTAAACAAAATAATCTGTACATCCGTTTAACAAGAGTGTCCCATCTATAGTAGAGCACCTGCATGGAATTTTAGGAAATTATCTGAATATACCTTACCCGATGTATATTCTAAGCTAGTTATAGAAAATTGAACTTGTCAGTTATATCTAAAAATATAATTGTTATTAACGAATAAGTGTTTTATATTCTCAGAGTTTGAGAAACCCCCGTAGGTGGTGCGCTTCTAAGTTTACCCACTAACACCATCGATGGTCTTTTGAGTTCCAACGCCTCAAACAAATCTACAAGGAACAGAAAGGTAGAACTATTAGTGAACAAATACTGTGAAGGTTATGGTTTTGTGATCATGTATAACGAATATTCAAGGTAGACAGAATTTTTCATTCGTTTCTGCTCCTCTACTCTAATCTGTTTAGTGATAATTCAAAAAATCAGACCAAGTCGTAAGTGAATGTATTTATGTAATTTTTATTCCGGGTAAGTTTTTTTGGAAACAAACATCACAAAGTTAAATGGGAAATATATTTGCCACAAACGGAACATTGTGGATTTGAGTGCTAATTCTGTAAATATTAAGCTGTGTTCTATTCTTATTTATTTCGCTGTTGCATTTTGCTGCTGTGTAAATTATATTTTCTTCATATTTTGGCATACTTTCCGGGGAATTTGTCAACTTGTCTTTAGCCCTGGGGCCTGGCGTGCCTGGTGCTAAGAGTGCACGGGTTTCGGGCTATAATCTCGTCACCGAATATGCTCGCCCTTTCCTGCACGTTTGTCAGCTTGTCTGTGATTCTTAAATATTTAAAACAGTGTTAACCTTCTTGTGCATTTGTCAGCTTGTCTGTAGTTGCGAACTATTTTAAACATTGGCAGTATTCTTGCGTATTTGTCATCTTGTCTGTACTTCTAAACTGTTCAACTTCTGTCGACCTTCCTGGGTGTCTATAAGCTTATTTTTCATTCTGGAGAATTTTGAACTGTAGTGATTTTCCTTTGTTTTATCAACGTATAATTAACCTTCAACTGTTTAGAGCTTGGTCTTTGTGAGATTGTCTTCCATCCTGGACTACTATAACATTTATCGTGATAGCTTTAATTCTGAATCATCTCCCTTTCTAGCGCCCATTGTTGGCTTTCTTCAGTCTATCCTTAATCCTGGACCACATAGCGTTCTGGTGGCCTTTTTAGGCCTTTGTCATAATACCTGTAATTCTGGACAACACAGTACTAATGACTTCGGTGCATATATTTCATCATCGAGCACTCTGGTGTTAGTCATGCCTAATTAAATACTACTACCATGGGGTTCAAAGGCCTCCTCATGATTCACGGAGGCCCCGATGTACCAATCAAGTTCCTCCATTATCTTCAATTTCTTCTATTGATACCCCAAGGGGTCCGTACCCTCCAAAAAACTGTTAGGGACACCCGTCCGTGGTACCACAGTACGTGTGGCAAGTTTTGTCCCGCTAGCTTGTGAGGGGCCACAAAATCCTATACTATATTCGGGTTCAGCGACCATGAAAACCTACTCTTAAGTCCCCATCATGTCTGGGTGGTTTTAATAGGGGCTACGCCATGTACTTAAAGACACTCCCGGGGCTGTCCCGAGTCCGCTTGTTAAGTTTGATCCTGCCAGCTCCAGAACTGCTGGAAGAGTAAGCTGGGCATACATACAGAAATATAATACTACAAGCTGGATTAACATAGCATATATAAGGTAGTATTAGTGTTTAAAACAACAGAGTAAACCAATGTTAAACCTCAGGCAGCTATAATGAACTATTTTTTATTATTATTTCCATCAGAGTTTTACTACATCAGACATTGAAAAAATTGAATATTTTTTGTTTACGATATTGTAATTAGGGAAACGTTTTTATTGATATTTGTCCGATCTTACACATTGGATTTCAAAAATGGTTTCTGGATTTTCTTGAAAGTACAGGAGTGTTGCTGCATTTTTTACAATACTGTACGAACTTAATAACTCGGTTGTCAGAACTCATGAAACGAATAATTTTGATACCACAGCATTGTAATGTTGTTTCGGGGTTCAGAAAGCATCTACTGTAGGGAGAGTGTCAGATATTTTCTATGAATAGTTTCTTCCTCAGGCAGAACACAGGGACTTCCACCCACTATCGAAAGTTTATTGTGTTTTTGTCTTCCATTATCTCGAAGATCCTGAAACTTTAGAATTGTTGGATAGTTACGTGGGAGACATTTTAAGAACATCAAAGTATTATTGGTGTATATATATATGTATAAAACACAGATAGATTAATTCTTAGATATTATGCTATATTAAAAGAAAGTTATTATTTTGTTTTCTCAAAACTACACATGTATATATATATATATTTATATTTGCAGTTCTTAATTTACAAGTGTAGTCCTTACGTCTTTGGTAATCATTCTGTGTACTAAAATAAACTGGCCCGGCATGGCCAGGTGGATAAGGCGCTCGACTTGCAATCTTAGGGTCACGGATTCGAATCCCCGTCCCACCAAACATGCTCGCCCTTTCAGCCGTGGGGGCGTTATAATGTGAT